TTTAACAAAGAATTTTGCCCACGGCCATTTATTAGTAACAGATGTTCTGCAAAACAAAACTAAAGGGCAGTTATTCCTTAAGTCAAATTTTCAAAAAAATAAACAAGATCCACAAGTCATACATATCAGCTTCTCAAGTTACATCTAGATGCATGGTAGAGTTTTATGGTAAATTTAAATCAAACATTACTTCTTAAAACTGTTTTAGTTTACATTTTGATTTAGGTAACTCTGTGGGAGCTGAGCAAACAGGAACAGCTATCAGTCCATCATTGCTGTGTAAATAGACCTTTTCCTTGTCTGCAACTAAGTTCACTCACTGCTAACAATTGCTAACAATGTCTTGCTGGAATCCCTACAGATTCTTCAGGTTATTTCTAAGTACCTACCATGAACTGATGCTTTGTATTGACCAGATTAATTCATAGGTCTCGGCCCTAAACCATGCGCTATCATATATCTAAATTGTTCATTTTTTCCTTGTTATAAATTGCTTCCTTTTTTTTTTTTAAAGAAAGTTTACCTTGATTTTTTTTTCCTACATAATAGCAGACTACTTCTGAGAAACATCAGTCTGCAGTTCCAAGGCACATTATATGCCCTATATAAACGAAACAATTAATAGCAAGAATAATAAGCTGACTGGTGTGTACACAATCATATGCGTAGCTACTTTCCTTCAGAATACCAACAACAAAATGAAATATGTTTTCTGTTCTTAGCTCAACCAGTGTAATCTCGCTAACTTACACTGCTATGCAATCTGAAAGCCAAGCTGCAACCCAGCTGAAGGTCTAGATATTTGAGAATATATTTTCCTTGGACCACAGTTCATACGATTTATTTTCTAATGTTAGTCAAATGTTCCTGCTTGTTACTTAAGCATTACTGTACGGTTACCTTGCCACGTTATGAGAGTTTCTATCCTGTCACTCTGCAATATCTCAGAACTGACAACTTAATGATTTTACCAGTTTCCGATAAAATCCCCCTGTGCTGTAGGAAATGACAGATCTGGAATCCTGAAGGGGGGTGGTTTTATACATTTTTGGACACCTGGGAGATATTTCTGCAGCAGAAAAAATGCCTAAGACAAAGCTGATTCTTTTCACATTCTGTGTTTGTAAACAGCCGATAACTCTGAGCAGCTTTAAACATAACGGCCGCACAGAGGCAACACTTGTCTTAATGACTACTTTCAGTCTGAGGCATTCATGCCTTAATTTTCCTTAAAAGTGCTTTTTATGTTATCTCTTCTTTTATAGTCCAGTCCTCTAGTATACCCACAACTAAAGCATGTTTTTCTGTTCTATTTTTCTGTTCTTCATTTGTTTGTTCATTTATTTGTTACTTTTTATTCCTTATACTTAGGCACATAAATCTTTTCAATACAAATGTCATACCAAATTAGTTGCTAAAATGGTAACTTGGTGCCTTTCAAGAGTTAGGTGTTCCTTTAAGCGCTACCACTAGAAAGCTGGGACCAGAAAGTATTACCTAGATGATGTCAATGCACATTAAAACAAAGTCATTACCCAATGCCACAACTATCCTACATCAGGTCTTGCAGCACTTAGCTGAAACGCAGCTCCAGCCTCAAGACTTGCTAAGAGAGAAGCATAAAGAAGCTTCCAGAAAAGCCAGGAGAAAAGCAGCCTTGCGGATACAGGGAGGCACGGCCTATCGGGCAGAGCAGTGCTCTGCTCTGCTGAGGACATGGGGGCCTGTGGATGTGTCTTCCCGCGCGAAGGCTGGTGCAGCGGCCACGCTAGCCCGGCCAGACGCGAGCGTGCCCCGCCGTTCAGCACGGCCACCACAGCAAGGAGCAGCTTACGGATGCCTATAAAAGGGCTCTGTCTACACAGCACAGACTTGGGCAGCATTTGGCAATGGGAAATCTCTCCTGGGATTCAGGAGGAGCCAAGCTGGGCAGCACAGCTCCGTCTTTTATTCCCCACATCACTTCTGGCTTGAAATGTAAAACAAAATGTGGAGCCCCAACCATATATTATTCTTATGTGACTTTAATTTCAAACATGGGAGGAATATGGGATTCCACATACACTGGTCATATCTGTCTGAAAAGGGAGCTGTTGGGCAATAGTTACTAGATTATGGATGGCAAATATATTTGGTTTCGTTCCTAACTCAAACACTGTGGAGTCCAAAAGCTTGGCTTGAACTCAAAGAGCATTTGGTTTATGTTCTGCTTTGGAAATATTATTAAAAAATGAGAGAAGAGGAATAGAATACATTTACTGGAAAAAATATGAAGGCAGAAGGGTCAGAGTACCAAGCATATGGCAATCAGTTGTCCCTGCCTAGTTTTTGGCAGAACTCCTTCCCTCAGATGCTTTCTGAGGGGAAAAAAAAAATCAGGTCCTCCTTTATTTTCCCCTCAAAATCTCCCTCAGTGTAGCACCATTAACATTGTGGAAATTTTTACATATATTTTGCAGCGGTTTCTAGTCTGGTGGGTTTTGTAAAATCTTTAAATGAACCAAAGGAGGTCACGGATCCCTAGAATTCAGTTTGCCTTCTTCTATTCTCCAAATGTTTAGGCAAATTATTTTGAGGCTTGGTGTAGCTACTTTAGTTAATTAGTGTTCACTAATAATCATCCCTGCAATCAGCATCAGCTAATTAGGTGCATGTGTAACAATTTATTTCACTAATTATTCATGGTTCTTATTTTTCACATTTAGAGTCCAGGGCATTACATTCTTTTTTAATTATTTTTCGCTGTAATTATTATTTTAAACTAATCATCATCAGTATTTAAGTCAGCTGGGACAAGAGAGAAATGACAGCATTTTCATCTGGAGATGGAAGTTCAGCTAGCAAATACAATTTTACTGATTTTCTGTTCCTCTGAATTCATGCAGGAGCCAAAGGGACTTCTCTGAACTTTTCTTAAATCCTCATTTTAGCATTTCTTACCATTCCAGCCCTCCGGGCAATCACCGTGTGGAATTGTCCATCAGACACCTTCTTGGTTGTGGTAAGCTTGTACGTGCCACTGCCAAGGTTGTAGGAGAATCTCAGCCTTCCTTCTGCTACTTCCAGAGCCAGAAACTCTGCCCGCTCTCCAGTTTGGTTGTCATAGTTGTATAACAGCAAGGCATTACTTTTTATAGTGGCAAACTTTATGTAGATGTAATTATTGTTTGGATCCATACTGGGAAACTCCATATAGGACAACTCTTCAAAACCATAGCTGTTCAACTCACAATGATTCCCAAAAACACCTGCAAAGTGAAAAGTCAAATCTTCTATCAGTTCTTGCCTTGTTTGGAGTGTACTCTCTGAAATAAGGTCTTGACGTGCTCTAGACAGACTTATGATACAAAGGTTCTCTAAAAAGCTTCCATTTTATAATTAAAAATACATACACACACAAAAAAAGACAGTTACTTTTGTTTATAAACAAGACACTTCATTTAACGTCATAGTTTCTCCACAAAATCCAAAAGCCAAGTTTGATAACTCTCAGAAGAGAAGGCTGAGAGGAGATTTGCTCAACATGTTCAAGTATCTGAGGAGTGATTGTAGGGAGGATGGGGCCAGGCTCTTATGGTGGCTGGTGACAGGACAAGGGGTAGCGGGTGCAAGCTGAAACACAGGAAGTTCCATCTCCACGTGAGGAAGAACTTCTTTCCTGTGAGGGTGACAGAGCACTGGAACAGGCTGCCCAGAGAGGTTGTGGAGTCTCCTTCTCTGGAGATCTTCAAAACCCGCCTGGATGCCACCCTGTGCCCCGTGCTCTGGGTGTCCCTGCTGGAGCAGGGGGGTTGGACTAGATGATCTCTGGAGGTCCCTGCCAACCTTAAGCACTCTGTGATTCTATGTCAAATATAGTTATTATTACCAAGCATCTGTTAATGCAAGCAGGTGTGTAATTTTGCAAGCTGAGTGCAATAAGGAATGAATAAACTCTAAGGAAAACAAAAAAAACATGGAAAATGGAATAGAATAAAGAAATTATTCCATTTATTAGATACAAAGGTGCTTACAAATGCATATTGGGAACCATTCTTTTGCGTAAGTGTTTTTAGTAGCTTTAAACTCAGGCTTATCTGGTTTGTGGATTAATTTCTTGCACTTATTTTCAGGGTCTTCTATATGAACAGTGACAATTCTGGCATTCAGAACCAACTCTGCTGCAATTATAATCAGATAACTTCAAACATCCTTGCTGTTTTATATCTTATATTTTTATATCCTGGGTTTATTCCACAAAACAAATCTGTGATAATTAAGTTCTAGTAATTGTTAAATTATTTTGACAGCATTATGTACGCTTCTCAGATTTTACTCTTGGAATTGTATTTTGGTTGTGGATCATAAAACTTTATTCACATATAATAAATCAAACAGACAAGTATTTATGTGGACTAATAAAGCTGTCTGGATCTGGTTAAGGCCTCTCCAATGTTCTTTAATGAAGTCTACTAGATACAAAAATGCCAATACCTAATGCTATGTTCCTCGCTTGCAGAAAAATAGGTGTACACATCAATTCTTTGCAGATATTCTGATGAATATGTGCATATGAAATCACTTAATTTTTCAAAAGAAAGACTAAAAAAGTCCCATAAGTGTCACCCGAAGGCATGTATGGATGCCCTCCTTGCATAAGGAGCAGAAGAGGAAAGGGGTACTCACCGAAGGGGCAATGGCAATAGTAGCTGTCCACCCCGCTTTGGCAGGAGCCACCATTGAAGCAGGGGTTGCACTCACAGTAATTGACAGTGGAGTCGCACGTTTTCCCTGCAATTAGAGAACAAAATGAATTTCTAGGTCAGTGTATTCAGGCCAATTTCAAATGACGACTTGTATTTAGACCACGAGCTTATGAATTAATGCAGCGCACGCTGCCCAGCTGTGCATCGGAAGGCAGGGCTCACCCCATGGGCTGCTTGTGACCACTGGTGGCCAGGAGGATCCTGCTCCTGGCCCTGACACGGGCATACCACAGCCTGGAGAAATTCGCTTCACACTTCAAGCATCTCGCCATAATCATCTCATGCTGTTGCTGTCACTTCTTTTATTAACCAGTGTCCATAACAGATTATAAAATGAAAGGAGCTACTGAACTAAAAGATTTTTTTTCTATTATTTTTGAGTGCAAAGCATTCATTAGTATTAAGAGGATGAAGGCTACAGACAGTCCTTGCTGGAATCTGTATGAACACAGCAGGTCAAACACAGGCAGCTATTGTACATTGTATGATTTTTCTTATTTTTCCTCATCAATTACAATCTCCTTCCTGACTTGGAGGGAGCACAGTCCTCAGGAGCTAAAACATGTTACCCTGGATACAGTTCTTTTCTAAGCAGGCATGGTCACATGTGGTAAATATTATTCACTAGAGAATAAATTGAAGTCACATAATTCATTTCAGCAAGGCCTGGAACAGAGAGGAAAAGTGAAGACTTTAACAGATGCTGCATACTGACAAGGGGATTCTTTGTTGTTTTTTTCAGTAGGTGCAAATAGGCAGAATCACAAGAAGAACTGCAAATATATGGGGGTAAGCATAGAACCAAATTTTACTTTGGGGGGAAACACTAACCACAAACTATTTGTCTTCACGTTTGGGGTTTTCATGGCCCAGCTTACACCAGTTCAGCAGCACTTGTGCTATGCACCACTGTTAACACCAGCTTTCCTTCCGTCAGCAGTGCCAGCCTTCACTGCTGGTTCCCCAAACCTTTAAAGTATCATCCCGTTTTTCCCTCATGTTACTCTGCAAAAACCAGCAATGTCAGCCATGTTCTTCCAGCTCCCTCCTTGATTTTCATATGGGCTGTGATATATACAAATACACAGCAAGGGCTATGAGGTTGGAGTACTGGAGATACTTTTTCTTGTACTGATGAGGAGTTACTTTATTGCTAGCACCATCCAAATATAAAATACATTTAAGGTAGACTACAACATACACTTGTACAGTGAGTGCCAAGATAATCCTAATATATCAAGATAGCAATGCACAAAATCCAGTCTCGAGACTTTAGATTGTCAGTCTCTTCAAAATTGCATAAAATCAGAATTGTGCTATGTTCTCCTAATGTTTTAAGAACTGATGGCGTTAGTCTTCTAATTAGAAAACTTTTTTTTCCCCTCTACTTTTCTACTTTTAAGCTGAGCAAGTACTGACCAGTTCTGTATGAGCATCAGCTCTCCATGTGCAAGTACAGGGAGGGTGGAAATGGAAAAATGCAGGGTTCCTGTGGTTAATATGTAACTTGTACATCAACCATAAATCTGGGAAGCATTTCCAGTATCTGCAACTAATTATATTTCAGGGAAATTTATTTATTTATTTTAAATTTATTTTCTAACTGACATGACTGAAGTATAAGCTAACATTTATTTTATATTTTTCTATTTATTCAGAAATTATATTGCTATTCTTTGACTTACTAAGGAGAAGACGCAGCAAGGGTCAGGCAGGGATGCTTAGATTAGTTCAATAAGGTTTCTTAGATTACAAAAATCAAATGTAGCTTAAAAAGCCTATCAAATCTATATAAGTAACTAAATAGTCTTCTTTTTCTCAGTCATCCTTAATAATGATATACATGCTGCGTCAACAGCAGAGCATGGATGTTTATTTTAGCTGCACATATTTTAAACAGCATAAAACAACATATTCTTCATATTTAACAATTGTTTGAATAATTCATGAAACTAATAAAAGTGTGTTTGCATTTATTCCAGCTGTTTTGACACTGGAGAAGATGAATACTCTGATTAAACAATTCATCAGAGCTATTAAAACTAATATTTATTTAAAATAAAGAAGAAATTTAGGCTATTCCCTACCATTCACTGAAGTGCTAAGGACCTGGGAAAAATGCATCTATTTACACTTGGAATAATGATCTAACAAAAGAAGTCTCTGAAGCTCACTTTTCCTCTTCAAACACATTAAACATGCTTATTCTAGAAAACAAGATAGATATCAGCAGAACTAAAGTAGAACTTGGAAATATTATTCCAGTTTATCACTACAGCTCTTTCACACATGGATTTAAAATAAATGATTTCGAGAAAGCTAGATCATTAGGAAAAAAAAACAGATTATGAGAATTATAGACTAAAAACTGAGTGGGAAAATAAATGAATGAATAATAAATACTATAATACAATTATACCTATGCACCAAAGCAACAGAAACTTTTATTTCTATTTGGCATATAACTCATTTTCATTCAAAAAATTTCTATTGTGAACACTCAGGACATCCATCAGACATCCATGCATCTTTTCTTCTGCTTTAAGACATGTTTTTTCTAAAAACTTTTTTTCCTTCTAAAAGACTCCAGCTCTTCTGAATTTCTTTATTCCTTGGGCAGCCCTACCTTCCAGTGAGCTGGCACGATTTTTTTTTCTGAAGACAACTTCTGCTACTGGCCTCATTCTTTCTTTTCTGCAGAATCCTGAGCATTGGCAATTCATCCAAACTTCCTTCCACCATCACATTTTCACTCAGCTCTCTCTTAGAGTTTTCTAGGAAGGCCAGTTCACATTCTTTGACCATCCTCTAAGGTCTCCATATTTAAGGCTCCCGTTGACAGCTTGTATTGCTTCCTGCCAAGACCCAGATGATCCAGACAGGATCCGAGATCCATTTGTTTGTGTGTTTGTGTGTTCAAAATGCAACTTCCTACTCCCCATCTTTTAATCTAAAATATTCCTAACTCTTTAACACCCTACAACTCAATCAACTGCAACTGAGAACAGCTGATAAGAACAGAGTGCACTTTTTTCTCAAGTTCTACTTGGTGCCTTGCCTATTTTCATGGATTAACGACACAGTAAAGCGTTTACTGAAGATCTGGCTTGGGGGAAAAAAGAAGACAAACAAAAGAAACCCTCCCAAAGAACAAACAGCCTTGAAAATCCAGTATTTTCCTGTTCTGCATGAAATAATATGCTTATATTTAGACACTACTTATAATGGACAATAAAAAAGAGAGTTTTTAAGCAGACTGTTTCTTCAACAGAGAATTTATACAAATACTAGCTACTCGGAAATTCTCTCTCACTCAGATAAAGCAAGAATACTGGATTGAACAGGATAAGAAATGGTTTGCTAAGATGCATACGAGAATCTTCACCTGAGCTTAAGGGCTCAGATATACTGCTTTGCAAAAAGATGAATCTAATGAGTTTTGTTACAAGCTCACAAACCTGGAGTAGTTTTGGTTCACACCAGTCATCTTCCACAACATTTTCCTGATGTAAGGCGGGAAGAAACATTCTGGCAGACTTCTACCTTACTTGGATAATGTGCTTTGAAAAATGATAGTAAGCTGTACATGTTTTTATTGCTTATGCAACTTAATTTTCAAGAAGCATTTTAAAAGCTGTGGCCAACTATGCATTTCTGAGCTGGGGAGTGATTTTATTTGGACAAAATGAAGAACAAGCCTAATTATATACTTTCGATTAGTGTTTCAGGGTATCAGGTCCAGTGAGGGGAAAGAAATGTCTCAGTTGTCAGCGTTTTGTGAAGCAAAGAGTCCAAACAAGAGCTGTCTCTAGCAACTGTCCAGTTGATGCGCAAGCTGCAATTAGTTCACTTTACAGCTCTCTTTTCAATTTAAATACCAGGAGATTCAAAAAAGGGGTTGTTCTGACACAAAAATGAATTCCCCAAAGATCATGAAAACTAGGATAACACTGAATAACTGACTGACATCGGATGCCATTTACCATTCATCCTCTCAAGTTGAGTATTACGAAATGCAGAGGCTTGTAAAAAAATGAACTACCTGAGAACATTTTTTTTAATTGAAAAATGTAATAGGAACAGAAACCAAAGGAATGCTCTAGGTTAAATTTCAGTTGATTTGACAACTATAGTCTTTGTGGATATATATGTCCATCTTTTACGGTAGTTCTTTCAGCATTTTAATCTTGCATTTGAAATAATTTAACAGATCTACATTCCCTCATCTTAATAAGTCCTGGAAAACAGGAAATGAAAGGTTCATAGGAAGGGCAGACAACTACTGTAAATCACAAAGTATATTCCTTTCAGAAAGTGATTATTTTAAAAACGAAACTTGATCATCATTAACAGATGTAATTATAACAGATTTTTTTAAACCCTAATGCTGTTGCTCTGAGGTAATCTGTCTTTACAATACTGCTCAGTGAAAGGAACTAAATTACCTTTTCAGTGTGATGAAGTGAAATGCAGCTGACAAAACATAATAAATCAAGTAAAAGCAAGACTACTCAGTTTTGAGGTAAGCTGTTATAAAGGTCTCGTGTCCTCCAATTTACAGTGAACAGAGAGCCTGTCTCAGAAAATAGTAATTTCCACTTGTATGCAGTACAGTGCTAATCTCTTTTACAGAGCATGCAAATTCAATTATGAGACTGTGTTTCCATTCCAAAAGAAGCAGCAAAGCTATGTATAATGATACACCAAATTAGAATTCTTCTATTTTGGTTGTCCCTTATTTGCTGAGGCACTTGGGGATTATATTCATAAAGAAACAATTTCAAGGTTTTATTTTTGCATTCACCATGGTTATCTTTAGTCAGGATTGGATCAGGATTAAGCTCTCAAACAGCTGTGTTCCCTTTATATCGGTAGCATAATAATGACATAATACTTCTCTATGACAGGCATTCTGCAACAATCCATATTCTGGCTTGTCTGTAGAAGCTACTGAACATTAATTTGAATTTTAAATATGCTCTTTAGCCTATGCAAACATAATAAGTGTAAATCTACTGAATATCGATTGTGAGCTCATCCTATGAGCTCCATTGATATTCAATTCCAAAGACATTTTGTTTTTTAATTACAAACTTTAGTGCCATTTGTTTTCTGCCTTGATCAATTAATCTTTGAGTAGTTAAAATCCCAGTTCCTCGATGGACAAGTGATTTAAGAAGAGCTGACTCAAATATAAATGTCTGCCTCAGTGGTACTCTATTTTAAAGTCATTTGTGTTGACAAGTAGCTTAAAAAAGCTCATATCAGATGCCACATTTAATCCACAGCATGAAAGAAATCAACATTTCAAACTGTAAGAGTCTCTCATCACATTTTCTTAGTTAAAATTTTCTTACTTCTTCCAAGTGTTTGTCACATGAAAACTTTATTTTTAGCTGACATATGGGTTATGATACGAGCTTTAGTACCAGAAAAAGTGACCTGGATATTTCTTTAATGTTTCAAATAATAGGCTACAGGCACATATTACCATATCCTGCTGGAGCTAATGAAGTGCTTAGCTTGGTTGTAACAGCAAACATATGCCCATTTAACCTCTGGAGCTAATCACTTCAGGAATCTCAGAGGATAGGTGCCCAAAAATTATTATGCCCTGCTCCTGGCAAAATAATCTGATCTACTAATACGATGTGAAATAAAGCCCTAGATCATTAACTTAATTAGAACTGCCCGTCCATTAACAATAATTGCTACTGACCCAAGGCCTGCTAGTACCTTCAGGAGATTTATCACATCAGCATCCTCTGCATCAAGAGACCTCTCACACTGAACATGTACCAAACACTAGCTGTGCTTTCAACAAAGTAATTTAACCTGCATTTTGAAATTAATTAACATTTTTCTTTGCCATAAACTATCTGACTTCTCCTGTGCTAAACTGGTTTAAGGATGAGCAACAGCCCTCAATCTTGCCACTGGTTAAAAGCAAGTTTTTGTGCAGCGCTTGAAGCCTGAGTATTCATATGATAAGCACTGCTGTGCCAACCTAGCCATACTTATGATGTCTTCAAAAAGTGGCCATGTTCAATGGTTAAAATTATCCAAACCTTCTTTAAATATCATACTACCAAATGAGTCAGAATCCTATCCAGCTAAACAAACAAAAATATTTTAAATACTGTTACTGATGTTCACTTAGGTTGTACTAAGTATGAAACAAATGTCTGAATGAAATATATCTGTACCTAAATAAAGTCTAATTGTAAGTTGTGCTTTTTATTTGGGTTTTGCTTTTCTACCTCTGAATAGATGTTAGATGAGACTAGGATTTGCATGTAATTCAAAGCTCACAGACAAAAAGCCTGGGTTGCTGCAGCAATGCACACTTTTTATAATTGTAGTGCTCCAAAGCATTAGTAGCCCACACTAGATGTAATAGCAAAGTTGGTATTTCTCTTTTTTTTCCAGAGAGTAGCATTTGGAAACTGTAATTAAAGGCTAGGAGTTCATCCCCAGATCATAATCTTTAGCGTGAATGAAGGTTTACACCTTCCAAAAGATTTTTCAGGTAAGCCCCTTTATATTTAATAATAATGGATAAAGTGTCACTGCTCTTGCTGCAGCATAAATCACAGTAGAGCAAATGTACAATTTCCTAATGTATGCAGGAACCACAGGCTGAGGGAAACCCAGACCTTCCTAAGACAGATTTTTCCACATGAGAACAAAACAAGACCATCTTTAGACTCGCATGCTGTTTTGAGTAGGACTGCTTTCACAAACTTCAGCCCAAATAATAAAGCTGGAAGATTAAGGCTGAAGGACAGATGTTCCAGAATGATTTTAAACCAAAAAAATTCAGTGGGCCAAAGTTCTGGTTATATAATTATTCGGGATAATCAAGTGGTCCTCTTTTCCTTGAGAGAACACCTTTGTATTGTATTCCAAACACGATTCACTACCATGGCAGAAATGGATCAAGAGATTTTGAAATGTAAATCTCTTTGATATTTCTTTTAAAAACACTGAAAGCATTTGGAACCTTTTCATATACGGCCAGGAATTTAATTTTCTAGATCACCGCGCACTTTAATGACTGCAAAAATGCTACATGTTCTTCCCACATGGCAATATAAAATAATACAGCCTTCCAACAACCAAAGCAAGTATCGGCCTGCTCCTCTAGGGACAAAAATGCCATGTTTGAATGCATGACAAATACTAGAGAAGAAATGCTCAGAAGCGGTAAGAACATAGCAGAGATTTCTGTTGTTAATGAAAAAAACAACTGACAAAGGGATGAAATATAGAACAGATATGCATGATCATTTTGCCTGAATTCTCTTTTCTTTCCTAGTAAGTCCTTCATCTGTTTTGTCTTAGAAGACTGTAAGCAATTTGGGGCAGAGGCTGACTTTCTTGCTTGGCACACTCCTAACAGACTTGAAATGCTACCACAATATGCATAACAATAACAAGAACACAAAATTCATACTTAAATGTTGGAAACAGTTTCTACATACTTAACAAATTAAAATAGCTCTTGTAAAACCCTTCTGTTCTAATGCAAATCAGGCAAGCAAGACTTGCCAGAGGACAGAACCAAAGAAAGCAATATTGCAGGCACCTTGTTCTCTCAATTTTCACTACTACCAATATCTTACTTTGAACAAGCTCTTCAGTTATTTTGAATGTTCATGTTGAGATAATCACAGCCGGAACATATTTTGTGCTAAAAAGGCTCTTTTCTACCTGCCCTCTCACCTTGTCTGTAAGATTAAGAGAAGGAAACACAAACCTGTAAATCCAGTTTTACAGACGCAGTTGAAGCTTCCTGGGAAGTTCTGGCAGGCGGCCCCATTTTTGCAAGGGCTGGAAAGACACTCGTTGACATCTCTCTCACAGGCCATGCCCGTGAAGCCCTCCGGACAACTGCAGGAGAAGCCCCCCACCAAATTGTGGCAGGTCCCATCATTGTGGCACGGGGAGGGCAGGCATTCATCAATGTCCATCTCGCACAGGTTCCCATCATAGCCTGGCATGCACCTGCACACAAACGACTGCAGGGGTTCGTTGGCCACGATGATGACGGGGATGCTCTCGTGGCTTTTCAGAGCCGGGCTCACAGCGAGCCTTCTCATACAGCTCCCTCCGTTCTGGCACGGGTTTGGCAAGCACGAGTCATGATCCACGGACTCAATCCGCACCCCGCTCTGACGGAAAAGCATTTCCTTGATGCTCTCAAAGAAGGTGGCCACACCGCTGGGGTTCACATACTGGTTGACGTTGCGCTTGACAGCTGCCATCAAGAAGGTTTGGTTGCTCTCCTCGTATAGGCCGTAGAGTTGCACAGCAGTCCCCAGCCCTGTGAGCTGCGAGCTGGCGATTCGCAGGAAGTGGAGATAGTGATTCGTCAAAAAGTCGCGCACGGTGTGGACGCTGAGGCGAAGCAGGATGCTGTTGTCAATCGTGGCGTTACTGAACCCTGCGAAGAAAACCCGGACGCTGCTAGTGACGGCGCCGTGTAACCCGTCGTTGCTGAGGACGGCCAGGTCAAACGCTCCATCTGTGGACCGGGCCTGCGAGTGCAGGTCACAGGTGCCCCCGGGAATATTGAACAGGCTTGTAACTCCTGACGTAAGGGAGCACTGGAAGCTGTCTAACACATCCGGATCCTGGGGCTTTACATTGCCTAAAATTCCACCCGGGAAGAGGTTGCCGTAGTAATGAACAAAGATTTCTACTGTTCTGGGCTGAGATGGGTTGTCGTTTTGGTCTATGACCTTTATGTGCACAGTTCCTGTGGAAGACATCTGAGGAACGCCAGAATCTCTTGTAACCACTGAGAGGTAGAAATCACTGATTTGCTCCCTGTCGATCTCTCTTGTTGTTGTCAGGACACCAGCAGTGCTAAGGCTAAAGTAGCTGGTTGCAGGGCCAGTGCTGAGCAAATAATATGTAAAGGGACCTTGATTTGGAGGGAGATCAGCATCTGATGATTGAAGTGTCATCACCAGAGTTCCTGCACGATTATTTTCCATGACTTCTCCTTGGCTGGTGGACAAGGTAGGGCCATTGTCATTGATGTCTTCTAAAGTTACCAATAAAGAAGCACTTCCTGTAGCTGATGGCGTTCCCGAATCAACTGCTAGCACAGACAGGTTGTACACAGGCAAAGTTTCTCGATCCAGCTCTGCAGTAACAGTTACCTGTCCTGTCTGCGGGTTGATGGAAAAGGCACCGTTGTCATTGCCAGACCCAATGAAATAGGAAAATCTGCTCCAGCTAGGGACAGAGTCTGAATCAAAGGCACTCACAAATGTGACATGGGTGCCTGGAGGAACACCTTCACTGATTTGTATATTATAGGTTCCTAAAGTGAAAACCGGAGGATCGTTGGCATCCAATACCGTGATATTAACAATTACTTCATCTATATCTGCACCACGAATGCTTCCAAAATTTTTTGCAAGAACTTTCAAGGAGATACGCTCTTCTTTTTCTCTGTCAAGAGGTCCTGACACATAGAGCTGGCCACTTTTCTCTTCTATCTGGAAGCCTTTCTTTCTGCTGTTGCCAAAGATCAGGTAGTGGACTTCTCCATCTGCCCCCAAATCACGGTCACTTGCAAAGACTTCACCAACAATGGTACCTCTGGAGGCCGCCTCTGAAACCTCAAAATAATAAAGCTTGGACACAAAACGGGGCACATACTCATTTGTCCCTTCTAACTGAATGTTGATGTTAGCAAAGCTGCACCTCTCTTCATCTGGAACATTAAAAGCCTTAACTGTTAAATGGTAACTTTGCTTTGTTTCATAATCTAAGAACCCCTGGGTGGTGACAGTTCCAGTATTGGGATCGATGACAAAGAGGTCGCTATCTGAGGACTGGATAGCATATGCAATCACAGCATTGGGTCCAGAATCAGCATCAGTGGCATTCAAACGAATAACCGTTGTCCCACTTGGGGCATTTTCTAATACTTTAGGAAAGTAGTCTTCCGGGCTGAATGTGGGAGAATTATCATTCACATCAATGACATTAACAGTGATACTGCAGTAACCCGTTCTGGACACCCATCCTCCATCTGTGGCAGTAAGAGTTAGCTCATGCTTTCGGCATAACTCAAAATCGAGGGGTTTTGCTAGTGTCAGTGCACCAGTAGATGTATTAATAGCAAAGATGCCAGCCTCATTTCCAGAGGAAATGTTATATTTGATTAATCCATTCATAGCAGCATCTCTGTCTCGGGCTGAAACAATCCTGACCACTGCTCCAACAGAATGACTCTCCGGGATAGTAACACTCATACGGCTTTGAGAGAACTCAGGTGTATGGTAATTTTCTTCAGTTACAACTATTTCAACAGCTACCTCAGATGAGAGTGGAGGATTGCCTTTATCCTTTGCTTTTACCTTAAACAGAAAATTTTTGTTTAAGTCAGCCATTAGTGAGGATGACACAGAAATCCAGCCTGTACTCCTGTCCAGCCGGAATTTATTAGCATTGCTTTCATTGGAAATCAAGTATTCCACTTCAGAATTCAAGCCAAAGTCTTTGTCATCAACCGCAGTAACTTTAATTAAGTTTGTACCAATTTTCACATTCTTAGTAACAGGAGTAAAATATTTCTTAGCAAGGAAGAGTGGTGCATTGTCATTGCTGTCTACTATATTAATGGTGACAGTTGTCTCACTCAGCAGAGGAGGACTGCCTCGGTCAGAAGAAGTGACTATGAAGCTGTGCCTGTTAATGTTGACATTGCTTGAACCGCTGGAGTTCTGATACCTTAAATACTGCTTGTTGAAAATTTCCCCTGTGGTTGCATTAATTCGGAAGAACTCAGACTGGGACTTTATGAAGTAGAAGACTTGACCATTAGATCCTTCATCGGGATCTGTGGCTGAAACCTGGGTGACCTTCAGTCCAATCCCAGGAAGCTCAGGACACTCCAAGTAATAGGATGGCTTTGTAAATCGTGGGGCATTGTCATTGACATCCATGACAAATATGGTCACATCTGTGCTTACTGTCCATCCGGAGTCATGTGCAGAGACTCGGATCCTGTAGCGGTCTGTGTCTTCCCTGTTTAGTGGTCTGCTTATTGTAATATCCCCGGTGCTTGGATTTATGGTAAAGGGGAGACTCGTATCCCGTATGGAGTACCTGCTGACAGCGTTCACACCGACGTCTTCATCTGAAGTTGTGACTCGTGTTACTGTAAAACCCAGAGGTGCATTTTCAGGCACGGAAGCACTGAAGATCTGAGAAAACCTAGGAGCATTGTCGTTTTCATCTAAAATGTTAATGACAACTTTAACAGTAGTGCTCTGGAGCGGGGTGCCTTTATCTGAAGCTTTTATAGTCAGTGTGTATTGTGACAATTTCTCCCTATCCAATGGTCTGACACTTCTGATTTCCCCAGTGGCTCGACTAATACTGAAACTATTTTCTGTATTGCCATCAACTATTTCATAATTTAACTGTCCGTTTGGACCACTGTCTCTGTCCACAGCAATGACCGTCAGTATCTTCCGTGGTGACAAGTTCTCCATTATTTCAGCAATGAAGGGATCTTGCTCAAACTCTGGTGCATTATCATTGACATCTATCACTGTTATTTCCACTTTCTTATATGAGGAAAAGGGAGGAAAGCCCGTATCTCTGGCCTCAATCCAAACCACGTATTTCTGTATTGCTTCAAAATCCAAAGGGTGACTGATGGAAAGCTGTCCTGTTACTTGATCGACCTGGAATGTGTTGCCCAGGTTACCACTTGCAATGTAGTAAGACAAGGAACCTCCTCTAGCTGAAGACCCAGAAACGGTTGTGACAAGTGTACCGACTGCTTGGTTTTCTGGAAATGTGAACGTCTCCTGCTCAGCTCGAACTCGAGGAAATTCTGCTTTGTTTACAAACCTCACGGTTACCGTTGTGGAATCTGTCTTGGGGTACAGGCCACCGTCCTTCACATGAACAGAAAATGTAACTTCAGACTCTTCTGTCAGGGAGTTAGTAGCCATAATTGCTCCTCTCGCTGGATCAATGTGGAATTTTTCAGAATTTTTTCCCACGAGGGAATAATGGAGCTCAGCGTTAGAGCCAGAATCCGCGTCGGTGACAGTCACTGCAAACACAAACGAACCTGAAACAGAACACAGACAGGGTGCTCATTAATGAATGTATCAATCATGAGAAGTGTGTTGCCAATTTTTTACTCTAAAACATATGGAAGTTTAGGTGTCCCTCCTGATATTTTTCCTGAAGGATAATGCTATATCTTCCACTGTTCTAAAAATCAGCTCTTTGTATATGAAACAATAATATGTATATATTGTGCCTCAGATCTTTCAAACGCATGTTCCACACTGAACTCTACCATATGAGCAGAATTAACAGAGTGTGTTAACATCCATATTTGCCTATTTTTAAGGAGAATCTAGGGTATTTATTTGCACTGGAGTTTGCACATCTTATACATGGCACATCTTTCAAATTTGACACTGTCCAACCAATTTGCAGAATGTTCTACTGAGGGTTTTACTGGTACTGAAACTTAGAAAACACCAGTTCTGTATATAAATCATGTTGTTTTCAACCTCTTAAGGCAAATC